CCCAATTCTGCAACATTGGGGATCTCCAAAACCTTTGTACTGGATTAGAGTTGACTGGTCTAATGAGATACAATGAAAATTAAAGCCAAAGTTAGACAAGAAACAAGGGTCACATTACTACCAACGTTACTAATTTAACCAGATTTATAATGAAATCCCCAACACTTAGAGGAAAAGCCCTCCAACAAACCATACAATTCAAATGGAAACATTACTCCCGATGCAGAAATTACCGGCTACAGTCTTTGACCTGTCTTACCCCCAACATCCAGATGGAATACCACAGAGTACCGTCCCTTTCATGAGGACTATGCTGCCCTAAGCAGCATCTGAGCTCACTAGTCCTTTCAAGCAGACCTAGCATGTTCCTTGCCGCTCCCAGTTTCCAATTCTCCATGTATTTAGTTTTCAAATTTTACATGATATATTTTGCCTGTGGCACAGTAGATCACTTACCCTTCTCCTATTAGCCCTCTCTGTTTAATTACAGTTTAATGTGAATTGATCTTTACATTAATGAGCCTGTAAAGAAGATTGATTTTCTTCAAGAGACTTTTATGCTCAGTTTGGCAGCAGAGTAGTCCTATTGATTTTGCTTTCTCAGTAAATATGCTGCAGGGTGTCACTGCATCCTCTGTGAATCAGCTAATCCTATTTCACACTCTTTTGCTCCAAAAATCCCTATTCTGACTTCCTTGTTATCTGTGCTTATTCAGAGCAAGATCGTGGGGCCAAAGCATCTCAAACAGCTTTGACTGCTGCTAACATACAACTGACTGCCGTGGGTCACCGTCCCCTTTGTTCCTAAATGGCTGGGGGCTTAAAAAGACTTGCAGCAAAAGAAATGAAAGTTATTTTTAAGTGTTTAATCTGTTAACTTCCTTAATTCCTGCCCAGCTAAGGATGTGGCACAGAGTGTGTTCTGTTTACCACGCTTGCTTCTGATGTCTGGTTACCAGGCTCTCCACTGAGCTCTACAGCTGTGTAACAGCCTGTGCTGGCACGCCTGCATCAGTGGATGCTGACTGAATCAGGCTGGCCACTTTGGAGCCAGGGTAGAGGACAAGGATCCACCTCCATCATCCTGTGTGGACATCCCAAGGGCCCTCCAGGATACATTTACCCACATGTAGGTAGATGAAGCAGTGGTAGACAGACCCCAGAGTAAGGGCTGAGCTTGTGCCTGCAGCAGGGTTTGTGGGGAAACCCACAGTAACAGACCAACGCACAGCCGGTGGCAGCTCAGGTCCTCCTCTTACCTGGCATGCTAGCAAGGCTAAGAGACTCTCCACACAAGTTAGTGAGAAAGCTGGATATAAACAGACTCAGTTTTGCTGCAAATAAATATTTTTTCCCATTCTCCCCTTTCTCACCAGATCAGGTAACAGAGTCTTCTTGAGAGCCTACAGAGTTAACACACTGGAGTTACGGCAGAATATTGGGAAGGGAAATTCTCAGCCAAGAGTATGTCAGTGAAAACATCCTGCCATCAACTCCCAAACGTCCAAGTCTAGGAACTGTAGCTAAATTACAAATGCTGTGGGAATTTCAGGCAAGATTCTCCTCTCAGTTACTTCGATGTAATTTCGGAATGAATCCAGACTCAGTCTCTCCCCCTCCCAGTTGAATTTCCTGGCTTTTGTTTGCACTAACAGATGTTTGCATTTAATGTCTGTCTTTATTTGGTAACCCGTACATAAGATTATTTTTCCCTTCTGTTCTATTAAAAGCCTTATCAAGTCCCTTATGTCTTCTCTTGTTGAGATGAATGACTTTGGCAGTATTTTCAACGTGCAAGGCAAACAGACTGACTCTTCAAGGAATAATTAAACTGAACTAAACTTCATGGCAGTATATTAGGGTATAACATCTTTGATACACGTTATGTCTGCATCCATCTGCAGCCTGAAACATCCAAAGATCTGCAGAAAGCCTTGAGAATTCTCTCTCCAACAGATTCCCACATGCTTTTATATATATACATATATATAACTGGCCCATGGCCCACACACACGGAGTCAAGCAAGTTTTGGGTAACAGAGACAGGTAGGAGAAACCCAAAAACAAGGAATGCAAAGCGATCAAGCTCCTTAAAAAAAACCCACACATGGAAAATTTGAGTTTGGTAGCATGGCAGACTTCCTTTTCCCAGCACCAAAAGGAGAAAAAGTCTCTTCCCCAGTTTAGGAAGAGTAGGAGATGAAGTAACTCGTTCAAAATGGCTGTTTTGAGTGACAAATATACAACCCTTGCTTTTATAATACATTCACAGCCCTTTGGAAATACTTAACCACATGCAGTATACAAAACCTACTTCAGAGGTTTGTGAGGTAAACACACTTCACATTTCTAAACACTAAAAAAAAAAAAGGAAATGTATTTATTTTTCTTTAGCAGTAAGAATACACTGTAACACTATATACTTAAACATAAATCAGTTTCTCAGTACACAGTCTTCATTATGAGTACTCACCCTTAGTTTGGTTTGGTTTGGCAGTCTCCCCAATTATTACTTCACAGATTTGAAGGCCAGAAGAAACCCGTATGACCGTATAATCCAATTCCTTACATCACACAAGGCTAAAGAACTTTACCGAACAATTTGCGTATCAAGCCCATTAACCTAGAGTTGAACTAAAGGACCATTTTTAGGAAGCCATCCAATTGATTTAAAGACTCCCAAGGATGGAGAAAGCTTCACTTCCTCTGCAAATCATTCCAATGTGAGTTAGTCAGCAATATCGATTAATGCAGGTACTTTAAAACAGCTTTCACATTATTTTTACCTCTGATAAAAATTAAAAGGAAATGCAAGGAGGAAAAGAGTGGCATTCTCTGAAACAAGCTAAACAAAGAGATCCTTCTTGCAGAGGTATGACAGCAGCATTACAAATCCCACTATCAGAGTTATTTATGTGTAGCAGCTGAGGAAAGCAATACAGATTTCTGGAAAGTGATACTAAGCAGGTCTGTTTAGAATACCGTCCTTTTATCATTTGGCTTTGTACCTTCCCCTTCCTTCTGCACCACTCTGAAATTTCAGAGGAGCTGTAAATCTACTGCCTTCCACCAGTCATTATTCCTCCTTTCCAAACTGCTTATTACATTTCAAGAATTAAAAAACCCCAAAGCTCTAGCAATTTGGTCTTTTGCCAACAGCTAAATTAATAGCAAAAATAACAACAGGGGCTTGTGAAACTGGGATCATTTATAGACTTCGTGAGAAAGAAAAGCCGATTTGGGGGGCCTAAAACTATATCCTGGATGGTAAAATGTATGCAAGCTTTCCACCCATAAATCAGATTTCTGGAGTTTTTTTGAATACCAATGCATAACACACTGGGTTATGCGGCAGCCTGGTAAGCTCAGTTCAAGTGGCAGGCAGATGGCCTCTCATGTCAGGGGATCATGCCTTAAACAAGGGACCCTGCTCGGAGGGAGTTACCACCCTGCTCTGCAGCCAGCAGCCCCCAGATCACGCATCCAGACTTCACATGTGGTCATGTAAGCAGGGAGAGGCTACGGCAGGAGGCAGAAATCAAACAAGACCATTTCACACCAACTGCATGTGACACATTTGACAGGTCTGGTAACTGCTGAGACACACAAGCCACCCCTCCACCCAGGAGGTGAAGTGGTTACTTATGCATTTAACAGAGACACTTGCTAGATCCAGCACTAATGATAGCAGAGGAGCACTTTGGCTCTTCGTAAGCTCTGCAGCAACACTGTATACCCAAGAACCAGATCAAAGGCACCGTATATCTCAAACAAAAGCTAAACTCACTTCACGCCAAGAGTGAGATAGGGACACCAATTCTTCAAGATTCTAAGATTCTTCAACTGAATTAAGACAGCAAGGAAGTTGTTCTGCTTTGCATATATTAACACTGCCTAATGGCAAAGCAGGAACAGTGCCAGTTCTTTCACTCAATTCTGTCCTTGATTTAAATAATAGGAATGTACTTTTAGTCAACAGATCAAGGTTGTCTCAGAGTAAGTCACAGCCTCTCGAGCATGAGAGGTCAATCACCTGGTAGTATGGACACTGGCATTTTCCACTACAAGGAGAAGGAAATCCACGGCAAATATGGACACCTGCATGCAGGTGTATGCTGCAAGGCCATACACACTGGAAGCCATTGCTTGAACTGCTCAAGAGCTTTGCTGGAGTCCTTATTAGCTATAACCACTTCCCTTCCCAGGAACTTGGGAGGTATCATGCACACCTCAGCAAAATTCCTTCTCGGTGTACATTACAAGCAGACACATGCAAAAATAATTTTAGAAATCCACACTCTTAAGGTACTAAGTAGTTTGATACTATTATATCTATTCCTTTCAGCAGCCTCCTCAACCCGAGATCCTCGGTGGCAGATACACAAGGGCTCTCAGGTGTCTAACACTTCTGCAGGCACCTAAACCTCCAAAGTTAGGAACTTCAAAGCTTCTGCAGATCTAGCCTTACAATCACTAATCTCTATCGGAGGGAAAGGGGGAAGGAAAGAAAAAAGAAGTTGAAAGAGATCATAAAAACAGATCTGGATCTGGAATGAGTTCCCTGCAAGATTAAGATGTGAGTAGTCTCTGGCTTTAAGAGACAAGAAGAAATGATCAGAACAGGGCTGGGGAGGCGGGGGGAAGAACAATAAAGAACAGGTGAAATTATATACTCCTTTAATAGCACAAATATGACATAATGGTTGAAACCCAAAGGCAGATGAGGGAAAAAAAGTAATTTTACTCAATATGCAACTAACTTGTGGATTTCACTGACATAAGTTACCACTAACCATAAGCACAACATTAATCGAGCACAACCTTGTGCAAATCACACAATTCCATATGTTTCTGAATTAGAGTGCCACCAAGCCTGATTACGAAAGCTGAGGAGTCAGCAGAAGTGGGTATGACACACATGAAACTCTCAGTCAGTAGCAGCTAAACCCACGCCACAAACAGTCCAAAGTCAAAAGCCAAAAGAGGCAGCAGTAACTTACAGGTGAAGGGAGCGGACGCTGGAAGCAGTGGGTCCCAGGGAGGGAATGGCAGTCAGGTCATTATTGTTCAGTCGCCTGCAATAAACAGAAATTAATAGTTGAACCAAGCAGCCTACAACCAAGCATGCAGGAGCAGAGGGGATAGCCATGGCACTTGCTTATCCATCCTCCCTGACCCTCCAGGAACACTGACATTTTGGCAGAACCCTCCATCTCAAGGGGTTTGTCTGGGTCTCTCTGACAGTCCCACCTTACCCTCCCAATCCAACCCAACACTTTAGTAAACGAGAGCCACCATAACTGGTCCCACAGTAACTTCTCTATAAAAGCAAGGCTTTTTTTCCCCTTCCACACACTCTCTTCAGTGAAGTTAAGTGCCACAGCCCTCCATCAGCCTGACTTTCCACAGTCATCAGAGCTGAGCCTGAGATAGGAGACTGTTCGCACCCACCGCCAGGCCCCACTGCCTCAGGACAATACGTTTAACTCCCTCCCCAAGCACCAGCCCCAACTCACCCCTCCAGGCCAAGCCAGGCCATGGAGGCCCAGCAGGGTGCCATGGTGGTGGCATGGCCTCCTCTCCACACCAGGCCAAGCTCTGGAAATCCCGCAGGGGCAGCCCCATGAAGTCAGCAACACGCACACAAAAAACTGGCACTGAACACAGTAATGCCACCAAAAAGAGGTCACCTGCTCCAGCCAGCCAGCTGGGGAACACCATGCAGGCCCCCAAGGCTAATGACAATTGCAGATGGGCCCCGCTCCTGGAAACACCAGTACAAAAATGTCCCCTTCAATGGCCTAATGTTTGAAGTGTTTTTCTGACTGAAAACAGATCCTTGCCATGTGACCGGCTCTTCCTTGCTTTAAAGAGCCCTTGTTTGTATGGTGAATTAGTCAATTAATTACTGTAACAGTCGCTTGTCTGGATGCTTGAAAATTACCTAATTTCTTAGCCATCTTGCCCACTCCCCCACCCCCCGCCACCGCATGCTGAAGCAATTAAAGCCGAGCCCCTGCCAGGCCAAGCGGGGCAGCACATGGTGGCTCCCCAGGACCCCTTGCCACCTCCAGTCGGCCATCGCTCGAGGCAGAGCCTCGCTGGGTCTCTTACCACTGCCTGCCTTTAAACTCTTCCCCCTTTTGCAGGGGCTCTGCAAGAGGACCTCGAAAAACACCACAATTCAGGTGTGAGAAGCAGAGCATCCCATAGCAGGCAAGAGAGCACGGCGCAGCTGAGGTGTGCTAAGCCATGGGGATGAATCGGGGCAATCCTAAATTATGTTGTGGGTTTGTTGGGGTTTCTTTTTTTTTTTGTCTGTTTTGTTTTTGTTTGGTGTTTTTTGGTGTGTTGGTTTTTTTTTGTTTGTTCGGTTTTTTTTTTTTTGGTTCCCCCCCTCCCCTTTCTTTCCTTTAAAACTATTTTTGGCAGGTGGGAGAGGGCAGCAGTACATCCATCCCAGAACCTACTTCTGACTCCTCTGAGAGCAGGCAAGATATTTGATTTCATGAGGAGTTCCAGGCACTGTTGGGATAAAAGCTTTCCTCAGCTCTGCCTCTGACATTACATCCGTACCTTAAAATGTAAGGGGGGAAAAAAGCCAGATGCATTGCAATTCAGCAAGTAGCTCCACTTTGCAACTAAAAGCTCATTGTTGATCATACTATAGCAAGGTCTAAAGCTTTCAAAGGTACAAAGCAAGCTGGAAAGAGCATTAAATGCTTATATTTGTGGCATGTTTTCGTTAATATTCAACTGCGCATCTTTTGGAAAGGCACAAGTGAAGAAAGATAATTAGGCCCACCCCCCCGTAGCCTGGGTCAGCTCTGGTTAAGCAGCTCTGACACCGACCAGCATCTAACAAAATGGTCAAACCCTCCTCTGACTTAAGTGTGATTTTCACATATCAGCCTCCTGTCAGGTCAAAAGACAGTCAGAAGTGGTTCTCCCACCTCATCTTCTCTCTTGGTTCACAGGCAACAGCTGCTGATGCACAAGAGACAGCTAACCTTGGTATTTGCCTGGGATTTCCCTCTCATCTTCCCCTTCTTCTTCTAAAGGTAGAAAAAAAAAGGCTCAACAAATTTAAACTTTCAGTCTCCTTTCTCCTCCCCAGCCTTCCCCTTTGACAACACAGCATCCAGAGGCAGCAGGTTTAAGGCAGAGGAGGAGGGGGGCCACCCATATAAAATATTTACAGTCCAGTTGCCAGGCTGGTGTCAAGCTGAAATAGAGCCTGCTCACAGAACAGCCAGGCTCAACAAATTTAAACTTTCAGTCTCCTTTCTCCTCCCCAGTCTTCCCCCCGTTTGACAACACAAACCTGCTGCCTCTGGATGCTAAGGCAGAGGAGGAGGGGGGCCACCCATACCTTCCCCTTTGACAACACAGCATCCAGAGGCAGCAGGTTTAAGGCAGAGGAGGAGGGGGGCCACCCATATAAAATATTTACAGTCCAGTTGCCAGGCTGGTGTCAAGCTGAAATAGAGCCTGCTCAAAAATAGCACTGCTCTCCAGAGCTTTCAGTGAAAGACACTTTAGAAAATAAGAGGAGAGTTGTTTGGAGAGGAATTTTAGCACAGTTACTACTTCTTTGTTATAAATGAGCTTGGAAAACCCAAAAGCCATGCAACCATCCCTTTCATGGATCCCATGATCCATATGACCCGAGGAAACCCCAGAAAGGACCACAGGGCCTGCCCGACAGCAGCACCTTCCATCCCACTTTTTCAACCAAGGTACAAGAATGGAGGGACCCAAGGGAGGTGTCATTAGAAGGAGCCACCAAAGTGGATGAAAGAAAGCGTAGGTATCCTGAAGGAAAGCAATGTCCCGCTCCAGCCCCTGCCACCCGAGGCTCCATCAGCACACAGCTACTTATTTCAGAGCATGTGTGATCATAGGGTTTCGTATCACCTTGCACCACTAAATTTCATCCGACACAGACTTAAACCTTTAAGGAAAAAAAGCTTCTCAAACAAAAAAAACCACACACACACATACAAACAACTGCCTAAACCCAGGGAAAGGGAGTAGGGTAAATACAGCTATTACTTTATTACAATCTCAGTAAAGCAAAACAGAGCATCCAAGATAAGCTATGAAGTTTAAATATTTTGGTTTGCAGATATTTTCTCAAAATCAAAGGAAAACAAAACTTTTTCAAAATATATCGCACTAATTATTGACAGAGACACACACAGAGTTTTGAGCCTCATCTGTAATGCTCAGGAACCACAGGCACCATGTTTGAAGCATCATGGGAGGTTTCAGGTCTTATCAATGCATCTATTATTTGGGGCAATGTCTTTCCCTGAGGGTGACTTGGTTTGCCCAGCACAGCACGCACGGCAAAACACTGACTTGCTCTCAAGACATGCCACAGCATGATGCTTATTTCATGAATGTTTGTAAAGTGCTTTAAAAAACCAACACACACACACACAAAACTCAGAAAGGAGAACCTCTGGCAGTACAGATGTGGTTCTCTTTGTGAAATGCAGTTTATTTCAGTGGTCTGTGGTTTAGCTGTTATTCAAAAGCAACGAAGATTGGTAGATAGGGTTTTTAATAGAGCTTCTCCCTCACACTTTCCAGAGCCTGCCTTCCAGGCTCTGCTCCAGACTTCTGCCTCCCTTCCAGTCTCCCATTTCTGACTGCCCCCTCACCCCCCTAATCACTCCTCTGTTTTCTGCCTTTTCCCTAACCCTTCTTTTCTGACACAGTAAGCAGCTCTTATCTGCACTATTACTTTGCGGGCTGCATTACTTACCTCCCCCGAACCCTGACATCTTTTTTTAGCAGCTGATTTTCAGTGCAAGGCTTGTCCTGCTCTCCACACTTTGCACAAGGGAGTTCCCTACCTAAGGAATCAGAAGCCATACCCATTTCCCAGCCCTGCACTCCCTGAAATCACACGCCTTCAGGCACTTCCACAAATAAAAGCTATTGCTAAGCCACAATCATGTTAGGATAATTCTCAAATCTCATGGGATCAGGGCTGCAATTTTCTTCTTTAAGCACAGAGTAATTTAAGGCTTTCCGCAGTTTAAAGAAAAGTTGAGAAAACAGATCCTATAGGGAGTGTTCTGTTGACCTGCATCACTTTCTCTCCCCTCCCTGACTGATCTAGGATGATCACAAACTGCTTTCAGAGCGCTGCAGTCACTCCTGATGCATATTGCTCACTGAATCATGATCCCTAGCAAGTCCCTACTACTAGTGTAAGCAGGGGAGCCAGGAGCAATCAGGCCAGGGGAGAGATGCTACATTAATTCCCATGGTCCAATCCTACAGGCATCAGTCAGGCAGAACTCCAAACCCTAAACAGGATCTGCCCCCTACAGGAGCCTCAGAGACAACACTTAATGAAAACAGACAGAGGATGAGAGAAAACGCACAATATACACAGAGCACAGTATTGTTTCTGAAAGGAAATGTTGTTTCAGTTTCCCATGAGGCATCAGTAGCTCTTCAAACAGAGCCCAAACCTCAAGTATGCCAGCGATTCAGCATTCAAACACGAACTCATTACCTCAACCCACCGCTTGCAATTTTAATCACTTTCGTTTTTCAAAACCCAAAATCAGAGCTCCAGGAATCACTGCGAATAGCTGACAAGCACAGCTCCTCGGCAAGTGTGACTGCTGAGCATTTATACAGATCAGGAGCTAGGAAATCCTGCAATTCCCCAAACAAGGTTTCTTTTACCAGCAAGGCAGGGGGGTCTGGCACCACTCAGACCTTCACCAGCTCCTTCTCTTCCCCCACCAAAGCAGAAGACAGCTCTGCTGTTTTAGCCTCTCCTAGCAGACTTCAAACAGAATTTGTTCTGCTTCCAAAAGGAGCACAATGTCTGAGAGAGGAGGAGACACAGTTAAGTGCTTTGTTATCCACTACACTACACCTTTGTTTCCTGGGAGATCTGGGCTAGGTTGGCATCAGGTATCATGATGCAGGCTGTTCTGCCTTGCTTCAGGGTTATCCTTTCAGCAAGGAGCTTTGTGTGTATGTTCAGATGTGTTAGCTGAACTGCTCCCTCAGAGCATTGCACAAGACTGAGGGAGGCAAACTCCAATGATTTCCAATAACAGCTATGCCGTTTTAATTGGGATGTTGTGTTCTGCTAATTGATTAGTTTAAAAAAAAAAAACCAACACAGCACAGGTACAATCTGGAAGAAAAAAAAAGCCCTCCACACCAAGTCAGATCTGCTCATTCAAGTTAGCTAAAGGATGGTACTGTCTTATGAAACTATATACAATTTCCTCCTGGCCCACAAGCCACCCTAGCAAAATACAACTAAAACCTTTCAAAGAATACTTACACTTCCTGCAGGTTCGACAGCCCTTCAAAGGCAGAAGGATCAATCTCTGTCAACTTGTTGTAGCTCAGGTTTCTGTTAAAATAAAAGACAGTGGGATCAGCATACTGTAGTTACCGTGCTCAGCAAAACACAGTCATCTTAATTATTCTGGACTGCACAGAAAGGGTGGTTGGTTGTTTATTTTTTAACAAGAGCACTTAAACATGGCAGAGCAGCACTTTTCTGCTGAATACATGAGTGAGTGAGCTCAGTTCCAAGATCAAAATATTATCTAGCTCTCCCTAAGCTTTTTCCTCTTTTGCATTAGTGTGGTTTTAATTTGTCTTCATATTACACAATTACATTTATTATTCTTCTATTGGTTATTCACAACCGCAAAACTAATCACAGATGAATAGGATATTTCCTGACAAATTAAAGTCTGAACTGAAACAATCAACAAACCTTCTGCTAAACATTTTATAGCTATATTCACACAGAGTATTTTTATATACCACTGCGTGCTACATGCAAAATATACACACAGGTATGTACACTTACTATGTGTAAACATAAAATACATTCTACGTTTTCTAATGAGATGGTATTATTAGTATATCACTAAATGGTTGTTTTGGGGTTTTCTTCCAGCAGCAATTCCAGCTTTCAGCCAGTCACGTAGTAGTACATGCTTTGGCCCTCAACAACCCCAACAAATGCTTTACAGCTACCTGACAGCCCAGATCTAGATCATATTATAGCACTTCACTGACGGATGGCAAATAGGTTGCGCTGTATGATCTGATAACAGCCTGGTGGGAGAGCAGACCTGCCTCGCAGGACATCCCTGTTTGGAAATACAGCCAGAGCTCAATGCACTTCTGGAAAGAATGGACTGTGAGGATTGCTGGGGACAGCAAACCGACAAAATAATGCAAATAAAGTACCGACTCCGAAAACCATAAGCAAAAGCTTTGCCATGCTCTGCTGCAGCATCATACAGCGCGACAGCAAAGTCTCCCAAAAAAAACCAAGATATGCACTATCAGCACACTACACACGACAGGTGAAACCTGCATCTAGGGGCTTACTGGGAGAGCACAGATCAATTAAGACCAAGTGACTAATGATGCGGAAATTAAATAGCCTAATTAACATGATGTATGCAGTGTTGGCATGTTCCTGTGAGTGTGTAATCTAAAGAGGGAGGAGGCAAATTGATGGGTGGTAGCAGAAAAGCAACCACAATAAGTAGTAAGGAAATTGTGAGGGGGACCTACTTTAATTTTACCCTGTTCCACACCCTGCTCTAGCATATTATCCTGGGTAAAATTCAACCCTCCTGTCTCCTCTGCAGGGAGGTTACACCCTCTTACTGCACCTCTGAACATGACCCAAAAGATTCACGGCCTGATTTTTAGATAAGCCCTCAAACATTCAGCTACTTATTCAAACCACTAAGCCAGTCTGACTAGAAAACTCAATCTTCCTTGGTTTGTATATTTTCTTTGATTTAAAGCTGTGCCCACAGAACCCAAGCAGGTCTGGAGCCCAAACAGGTAAACAGGACCTAAGTCACTGAGGCACCTACTGAACTTTTACCCATGCTACATGACCCGAGAGCTGAGGGTCACAAAAAAAAAAAAAGGGTAGCTGCCAGAAAAGCATAGATGGAGACCTCCTCTTTGAATTGCTCATGCTAACCCACTGCACTTCGTGGTAATGCAAAGAGAAATTTAGGCTGATAGCAACCTTACAAACACCAAGACTTGAAAGATTACAAAGCTTACCAATTTTGTGTGACTAGCAGGAAGCGATAGACACCTTTTTTGAGCTAAAAAGCAGTTATTGATCACCTGCCCTCCTTTAATGCATTTACGGGAAGTCCTTAAAGTGTTCCCCTGCACATGGGAACCATTTGATAGTTCTCACACACATGCTGCTCCCCATCATTTCAGAGCAGCCAGCTCTGAAGACAGCTCCTTGCATCTTGCCCGAAATGTTCAATTTTTTGCCAATACCTGCTGTGAAAGAAGCTCCACAAATCAACTACACAGGCTGGCTCTTAACAGAACCTAGACCTGAAGCTATATAGGAGTGTAAAACCTAACCAAGCATCTAGTTTTAAAATATGCTGTCCTGTAAGCCCCTACTGTCTTTTAAAACACTCAAGAGACTTTTAAATCAATACCAGCCTACAGCAGATATCCATTTCACTATGAACTCAAAGGCATTTATCTAAATAAAAGTCAAACTGCAGTTTAAACTCAGAGTGCGTTTGAAAGCCAAGTCCATATTCATAGCACAATTATGAATTAAAGTGCAATTTGCCCACAGATTACATTACTACTTTTTTTTTTTTGAACCACACAGCAAGATCAGGTTGGAGCTTGACCCTGCCTGATGTACAGGCAAAAAGAGAAAATACAACAGGTAATGTCCTGTAGGGTCAACACAATAAAGATAAAGCTGACACTGAAATAGTAGTGACAAACTGTAGGGGGAAAATACAACCATGGTCATGACCGTGCATGAATCCGTCTGTTTTCATGTATTCCTATGCCTTCCATTGCTGCAAATCCTTGCATTTCTTAAGGTAATATATTTATCCTCAAAACATTCCTCTGCAATAGGTTAAGAGGCTATTTTATGAATTAAGCACTGAGAATCACAGGCACCAAACTGATCATCCCTATGCTTGTCAAAGGGACCAGATCCCTGGTTTAGCCAGCGCTAAAGCACTGAGTGATGCTGACATGAACCTTAGAAGTTCACAAGTGAAAAAAAAGCCTTTGTAAATTAAAGGATTTCATGGTCACATTTTAACATCATCCAAAGTACTTTCTGATTATTGTTGCTGCCATTCAAGAAGTCTGAACATCGAAGTCATTGCACAAGTAGCCAGCTCTTCAGATAGCACAGCTGTATTTTGCCTACTCCAGCAAAAGAAAGTCTCTCTGATGGTTGCTGCAGAAATACAGGTGAACTCCACCTCCTTCTATGCCAAAGTCCTCAGTTCTCCCCATGCTACCCACTCCGACTGCCAACTATCCTCACAAAACATTCAATACACTGTTCAAAAATCAGCGGGGAAATGAAAGCCAGAACTAGGGAGTCAGTGCAAAATAAACAGGAGACTTGAAATTAAATAGATACACCAAAATAAACAGTTTACTCAATTTCTGAGACTAGCTGTATTTTAACTTACTTTAAAATGCCCAAGAATTTCTAGCCTGAAGCATTAGCAATCAAAGGATGTGTTTCCCAGAACTCAGATCCCCTCACTAGACAGTATTTGGCATGCTAGTCACAGCATCCAAATGGGAGAGAGAATTAACGTGCTCTAATAGATAGATCATTGGGACTGGGAGTCAGGAAACCTCCGTCTATTCCTGGCTCTCTTAATCTCCCGCTGGGTGACCGGGTCATGTCACATCACCTCTCCAGAGCTTTTGTTTCCACAGCCACCCTTTGTCTGTCTTGCCTATTTAAACTGTAAATAAAATTGAGGTAGGTATTGTCTCAGTTTGCCCGATGATGATGAAATGAGGCCTCGATCTTGGTTTTGCTCCAGTAATGCAAATAAAGAAGGGAACTCAAAGCTTGAGGTCACGGGTGCCTATGATGCTCCCTCACCATAAAGCACGGGACCCAAACATACAGCAGTGCACAAAGCGCTGCAAGGACTGTAACAACCCCATCAGCTCAGCCTCTCCAAGCTGAGTAGACCAGCAATGCAGGCCGGAGATGCCAAGCTTGGGGGCACAGCAGTCCCATCACTGAAAACTGTCACATTTCTGCTCTCCCATAGCGCAGAACACGTTCCCTCTCAAGGAGTCCCTTGGTCTGATGCCATACAGTAGTGCAATGGATCTCTGAGAAAATCTCTCTGCCATCAGCATTCTAAAATGTCTGCTTCAAAGAAAAAGAGCCCTCAAAACCCAAAACCAAAACCCTGTCCTTTCCCAAATCAGCACTCCCCTAAACCATCTGTGCTATCTCAGGTGCTGGGCATCTCTTCAAAGTGGCAGTTTATAAAGCATCATCTACAGTGTTTTATGCTGGTCCCAAGACACCACGTCTTCGGTAGGTGTTCAGTCCTTTTCCTGGCACCTGCATCTGCACACAGGGTTAGCCGAGCCCCAGTGTGGGCATACCCATGCAGAAAGTAGACTGCCCAGTGTCCTGCCTGCTTCCCTGCACAGGCACAGGTTTCTGTGGAATTACTCACAGGAGGGTATTTTGATCCCTCCAAGGCAACTGTGGAAAGAAAACAGAATTCAGACAATCAGCATAAACCCTGGACAACAGTCTGGGCTGTAAGTTCAGGGAAGCATCCTACGAAGGCCAGACGCTTCTAGAGATGGCAGAGAAGACAGAGCAGAGTCACCAACTTGAGTGGCCCTTAATGTTCAGATTGGTTTTCTCCCCTCCTGTTGAATAGAAGCTGATCTGAAGTTTGTGAGGTGGTTTTTTTTTTCATTTTATTTTGACTTAATGGCATGAGAAATGCTCTGCACACTATTTATCCATTACATACTTCAAGTCTTCCTTGTATTGGCTAATCCTACAAGTGTAGGGTTTTTCCCCCTCCTGTCACTAGGATGCCCATGATCGGGAACTGAGAGCCTGTTAAATCAATATGGGAAGGGTCCTGTTCTGTCTGTTCATCCATTTCAGTCTCTAAATAAGAAAGCAGTGCTCGCCTTCAGGTAGCACTGTAGATCACTGAACATTGCAGAGACTGAAAAGGAAAGCCTTGTTAAATAACCAGGTACATAGCCTGCCTGAAATCACCTCCCAAAAGTAATACTGCCATCACAGAGAGTCCTGCTTGCCAGCAAGGAGGGATCAGTCAGCTCTTTGAACCATGAGATGCCAACCCTGCCTCCTTGGGCAAGGCATGGAGTAGACTGGGAGTTCACATAGAAGTTTTGTCTCTGCTTTGGGAACTTGACCAGTGCGGAGAAAAGCCATCTCTCTTTTGAGAAGAGAGGTGCCTGGCTAGCTCACCAGAAAAAGCAGTAGAGATATAGGTGGCTCCTAGTCTCTGCTCACCATGATGATGGCTGAATTCTGTTCAGTGAGGCGAA